GAATAATTTTGAAACCTAGTGACTTCTACACCGGAATTCAAGGTTTACAAACTGCGCACTGCGTACATTCTGTTTAAGCAAAAATACGTTTCCGCCTACAGCTTAAGAAAGATCTTACATAGTTCTCATAAAAGGTTGCAATAGATATGGAGCATGCTTTATACAATAAAGGCAGCATTAACAAATTCACGGATAAGATGTTCTATGAATGAACATCTGAAAAATATAGAAAAGCTTAAAATTAGAAATTTTTAAAACCGAAAGATACCCTTTCTTTTAGTATAAAGTTTAAAGAAGGGGTAATTTTCTACCAAAAGAGCACAAGAAATAATTTTTTCGTGCATTTTTTCCATAAAATATATTTGAATTTAAAAAGGCAGTCAAAATCAATGACGATAAGGCATACTACTTAAGTAGCCACTTCTTATAGTACATACTGTTACTTAGCGGTCAGAAAGAAGCTCATTAAAAAGCCGGCATCCTGGCGTGACCTAAATATGTTGAGATGAGGCTGTACGATCGTCATTCCTAAAACCATACATAATTAATATGTTTTAATCGAAAACGCATTTCAGAATTCCGGATGACATTTCATGAGATAGGGAATCTACTGTAATTCTACTTTTTTTCATGTTTTACTCAGTTTCGGTGGTATAATTGTTACAACGCCCGGAAATTGACATACAGCATTATTAATGAACCATTGTGGTCTGGTCCCTGTCTCAAAGACACACTCATTTCGCCAGCTGGCAATCCTTCAAGACAGGACTGATAGCATGCCGAAAGTCTTCTTTTTAATTAAGGAATGCCCCTGCGGCGGCGGGGCACATTGAGACGGGTGTGACCCATGTCTGTCCAAGTCTGACCTGTAAAAGGACTGAGCGGAGTGGCTGACCTGGCGTGGAGGCACGTCCGTCTACGCGTGCCATGTACACTTTGGCCGTGCGCTCTACGTCGTCAGATTTCGTTTAATCGCAGGAGCTGGCGGTGTATATGTTCACAATAAACGTTTCGTCCACCATAACGAGTTTCCATTGCATGACTGCCGAATGAGTAATGGGTGGTGCAGTCTTGTCCTTTTAAGCGCGTACGCGTGCAGCCGAATAGGCACATATATATAGTTGGTGTGTTTTGTGCGTAAAGGCTACTAATGTACGGCAGACCACAGCTGTGCCGCTACACTAAACGTTTTCACGTAAGCGCATATGGCCGAATAGGCTTAAGGGATGTCCACGTGTCTTCCTCAAGT